GATCCTCTTTTTTCTCTTAATCCAAGATCTCTCCTCTTTCTCCACTTTTTGAGCTAATTTTTCTCTTCTTCCTCTTTTTCTCGGATTTTTAGCAAAAACACCAGAATCCACGCTGTTTTTAGAGCTAAAAGTAGTTTCCGATATATTTTTTTATCAATGCCATCATATGAAACAAAACTCCATCACTCTTTGTTACAGAAAACAGTAGACGAAGTCCCTATGAGACGATGATTAAAGCAAGGTGCCGAAATAACATATTTCAGGCGATGATTGAGTTACAGTCAGTTTATTAGTATAATTTCCACTTTTATACCCTCGAGGACGACATGTAGCGCTTGCAGCACGTAAAGCGACGTTACAGTAACAAACCATTCCATTTGTATCCAGATGGTAGAGGTATGTAGCTAGCGGCACCGATCATGTCTGAGGCAACGTGAAATTCGCCGTCGTACACTTTCACAGTGAACTTTCGGCAATTGCCGAAAGTCATGGCGTGGATTAAAAATCGCTCTCGACTAAAACTGAACTTTCAGCAAATTGCTGAAGTTTCGACGTGGGTTACGCCATTCGGCTTACGACATGACCTTCGGCAATTGTCGACATTTTTGTAATTAAACAGGCAAATTGCTGGATTTTCTTAATTACTGGACTTTCGGCAACAGTAAATTAATAATTGTCAGATTAATCAAACTGTAACAATTAACATTTTTTCAACTTGATAATAACAAAAGAGACAAAGAACGGCGGTAGTGAAGAAAGAAAGAGAAAAATTAATTTTATTAATGGGTATAAATTTTAACATTGTTGTGATAATAACAGCAACTGTTGTAAGACTCATACTTTATTTTACATTAAATGTCTTGTGAAATTTTCAATTTTATTTTTCTAATATCCGCGTTAATACCCAAATTTTTCCATGGATTCTTTTATCCCTTTTTCTCTTTGCGATGTACAGCGTATGCCCAAAGCTGAGACTCAAAATATTTTCTCCTTCATGAGAAAAATGAATTTTACAAGAAAAATATCTCGTAGGATTAAACCCGTCATGACCTCATGGAAAATAATGAATCATTTGGCTATCTAGTCATGTACGTCTGGTAGCCTTGTCATGTAGGAGTTCGTTTTCTGCAAGCTGAAAAATTTTGAATAATACATTTTCTCAGAAGTTTGAATAAAAGAAGCTTTTGCTGGTAATAAAACGCATCGAATCGCACATCATCAGAGAGGCTTAATCGCGACCTCGATCAGTGTATTAGAATAAAACTTTCGAAACCATTTTATGTCGCCTTTATCTTGATCAGCAGGTTCAGCCTCTGTAGTTTTAGGCATGATATCAGTTTTGCCACAAGATTCAGTATGGTTGATAACCTATGTTTCCATTTATTTAAACAAATGAAAAACTCACGAATTTCTAATTGAAAAGTAGATCGAAAGGTAATTTCTCACATCCGATTCAAAAGAGCAATAAAAATACTTCTAGCTTCTATAATTACATAATTTCAAACTTACTCTGCTATAGTGAAAAAATACTTTTGATGAGAGCGATACATTTCAAGAGAATGAAAGAGTTTTTTCGGCGAAAGAGGAAAAGATTCGGATGAAAGAGTTGCAAGAGTTTTTTCGGCGTCGCGTATCGTATTTAGATATAATATCACATTGTTCGAGTGGAAGTAACTTCTAGTTTACTTTAAAATGGCATAGTGTACACAAATGTATAATATTTAATGTTGTTACTTTATCATTTATTAAATCACTTGAAAAGGACTTGGCCGTCTTGGAGACGTGCTCAGTAAAAGTCGATTTTCTCAGAAGAAAAAGAATTTCGAAAAAAGCTCTTTATTAGTTTGAAGCCTGGCCTCTGGCGAATCCAACCATGTAAAAGTTTTGGCACTAGCTCCTTTGGGAAAGCTTGAATTAGGGCCACAAAGTTTGATGCACGCTTTTAACACGTACCAGTTTTAGACACCAGGAAAAGTCATTTTCGATCCTAGAAGTCTGAAAGTTGCTTTCTAGATTCAGTTTTCAGCGCTGAATCTGAAACATTTAACCTCAAAACTCGAAAACGAAATCCGGAAAACCTATGATCACTTTTATGAAAACGTAGATTTTTAAGGTTTTTGACATGCCCCAAGTATAACTGTGCTTTCTGTGCACCTTACATAATCTATCATGAGGAATCGATCAGAAATATTTTGCGATCCTCTGGTATCTTTAGAAGGCGTCTAGACAAACAACGTTTTAGATTTATATTTGATTAGGCCCTTTTTACCTGGAAGTAGAATAGTTCGCAGCATTCCCCAACTATACTGGTCCGCGAACGCCGACCAAAGGCAGGCGTGAGCTTTGTTTTGGATTCAGAAATATCTTCGAACTACTGCGGGTCATTGGAGAGCCTCGAAAAAGCTTTTTATACTTATATTCGATTAAGAACCTTACACGTGAAAACAGAGAAAAATCCACAAGATGTGTTAGTTAGGTCCCAGCGAACGCCGACCGAAGGGAGGCATGAGCATTGTCTTTGGTTTAAAAGCCACCAAAGGGCGTTCGCTTGCACAGATCCAAGTTTCTAAAGTCAAGGGACCGAGTGAGTGGAGACGAGCGTTAGCTTGTTCTTTCTTATAACGTGATCATGCATATACAGCAAAAAACATAAGAAACCTAAAGCTTTCATTTATCATTTCATCTCTACTTCTATCAATCATTTTATGGTTGATTGGTTCCTATTTTATAACTATGCCTGTAGCAACAAATGTAAATGATAAAACTTTGGTCAAAAAACTTACACTTTACAATCTTTTTTTTTGATCAGCTGCCCCTGAACAGATAAGGACGGGGAAATGTGTTTTGATCATCAAATTTCTTTCTATCGAAATGATCACCAAAAAATAACACTTTTGATCACCAAATCAAATAAAGAAAATTCAGATTAAGGAAAATATATATAAGAAGAATATATAGCAATTAATTAGCAATGATTACTATTTAATGAGCAGACAGACAAGAAAAATAAATAAAGTTTAATTTACTAATATACGACTGAACACGAAGAAATATCATATATTCAAACATATACAAATAAATATATTAATGTTATATTTTTGTAGCCAGCCGTAAACTGCAAGTCTGATCTTATGCTGACTTTGCTGATATGAACTAAGAACTTTCATTTTTTGTCGCCACTCGCCACCCCTGCCACCACCTCATTTGTTCAAGTTTTTATACTCTTTTAGGGGGATGTTTTTTAAAAAGTTTTCGAAAAATTCGAACTTTTTACTCTTGTTCCCAGAAATAAACATTGGAAATGTATCGTTCTTCGTGCTTAACTTCAAGATTGTTGCTTTTTTGGTTCAAAAATATAACATTAACGATAAAATTTCTAAAAACTTCAACCGTTGAAATTAAACTTCTGTTCTGCTCATATTTCTTCTTCTATATACTTTCTTTATATTCTTTTTCTTGCCTGTCTGATTAATTGGTAATCATTGCTAATTAATTCCTATATATTCTTCTCATATATATTTTCTTTAATTGATTTGGTGATCAAAAGTGTTATTTTTTGGTGATCATTACGATAGAAAGAAATTTGGTGATCAAAAAAATACATATCCGAATTCTGTTCTGGAGCAGCTGATCAAAAGCAGATTATAAATGTAAAATGTAATTTTTCTGAGCAAAGTTTTAACATTTACATTTGTTGCTACGGGCCTACTTACAGGCAACAATTGTAATTCATTTATAATAAAGCTGCGCAAAATAGTGATTTTCTGTTCTTCTCTTTTTTCTTTTCTTATTCACGTTGTATAACTATATAGTGTGTACGCACGTTAGAACATGCTTTCGTTATTTTTTCTTCTCTTTCTCACTCGACCACACGTCACTATTTAAATTATATGAACCGAAGAAATAAACTATGACGTGAACTTCGCAATATATTCAGACACATATAGTCTACATAAGTATCAAACATCGTTGATAACGCACGTTTTAGCGTGTGCTCACGCACTATGTATAACGTGAATAAGAAAACAAAATAGAAATGAAAAGAAAATCACTATTCTTCGTAGCTCTAATCAGAATCTAGAGATGAATGAATAACGTTTCATAAAACTTCCATTTTCGTTCATTTCATATTTCGTTCTTTTCTTTTTTCGTCTAGCCGCAAGACATAAGCGCAAAGAAATGAAAGTTATAAAAGTTACATGAGAAGAGAGGCCTGTCTTTTTAATTCTCAACATCAGTCGTTTTTTGTTCAATGTTCTGTTAAAAGTACGCACATTAGTCTATTCCAAAATGAATGAATCTTAATTTCGAAATTTATGAAAGTTTGTTTGCTTAGTAGAAAATTTAACGTTTGTTAACGTCATCTGTCACTGCTAATCTTGTAGATCAGAAGATGGAGGAAAAGACTTTGTTTACGATCCTTATGAAAACTTTATAATAGATAAGTAACTCATTTCTTTTGCGTTTGTGTATATCAAAAATTTTATTGAGACCCAAACCCACATTCAAAGAAGTTTTGAGTGTAAAATCTCCCTCCAGCTGTGAGCATACCTGGTTATATAGTATGTGGAGAGAAAGGAAAAAATACAGTATAATAAATTGTATATAATAACAGTTTTCTCTTTTGCCTCACTCATAAAATTAACGTTTGAATGATAATTGCGATGTTGTCTCTTTCTTATTCTGAATAATAACAACAGAATTTTTGTTTTGTTTTTTCATTTTCTTTCTAGTACTACTAGTATTACTTATATACTAGGCACTGTTATATACTAGGCAGCAAATGTAAATGTTAAAACTTTGATCAAAAAAGTTACATTTTACATTTACAATCATTCTTTTGTCAGATGCGCCAGAACAGAATTCTGTTCTGGCGCAGCTGATAAAAGAAAGATTGTAAATATAAAATGTAACTTTTTTGACCAAAGTTTTAACATTTACATTATTTGTACATACAGGCTTAATATACCAGAATATAACAAAAACGATTCTCAAGTCAAATGAAACAATCATTTTATCTTATTTTTTTACTTATTTCTATTGTACAATCTCTTCCAACGACCACCACAAAGCAACAAACATCATCAATTCATCGTGTTGATTGTTTTTCTGATAAAACACCATTTAGTAATTATAGTAAAGAATCATGTTTAAAACGAAATTGTTTATATGATGATTTACATAATTTTACATTAACTCCTCATTTACCTCAATGTTATTTTCCACGAAATTATGGTTATGTTTTACAATCAAAACCAGAAAATTTATCATCCAATAGATTAAGATATAATTTAAAACGTACGACTAATGTTAAAAATCCACCATTTCCAATTAATTCATTTGAAAATGTTCTATTAGATGTTGAATATTATACAAATGAAATATTACATTTTAAATTATATAATAAAGATGAAAAACGTTATGAAGTGAGTGATTTTTCTTCATATGAAGTTATAAAAAATGTTTTTTTTCCGATTTTTCTCTCTATCAACAAACATCATATGTTTCTACAATGATTTTTTCATTGTTTAGTCATTTTTTTTCTGCGAAGTATGATCTTGAGAACTGTGCCAAGTAGACAACTCAATTCGAAACTTAAGATGGATCTTTTTTGAGTGCTAAGATAGAGCAAGTGAATATAGTCTTCTCCAAAAAATTAAAAAGAGTCTAACCTTGCCACGAGACGGTTCAGAAGTGCTAGACAAATGACTGTGTGCTTAGAAAGTTTTCACATGAGTTTGTCATCCGGCGTTATTTGTTTAAAAGAAAAAGAATTTTTGTGCGTATTTTTAGCATCTGTTTGATAAAAAGTTCGTGTTTAAAGTGGGGAAACGGATGAGGCAGTTTTTATATTTGGAATCAAAGTCAAATTCTGAACAAAACGATGTATGATTCAATAGAATTCTAAGACGTTTTCAAACAGGTCAATCAAAAGTCCATTAGTGCGGTTTCCCTTCTGGACATTTTCCATTTACCAAAACTTTTTCATTCTTCAAAAGTAGGCACAAAATATGGATAATACATCGTTCTTCTTCCATAGACGATCGAATTAACAGCAAAGAATTCTATAGAAATCTTATATAAGGCAGTCGATCGAAATGCGTAGAATATTGATAAGAATCTTATACGAAGAAATAAAAAGAATCTCATCAGATTCTGATAAGAATTTGGCAAGACAGATTATGTAAGTAGTTTAGAAAAATTCATAAAATTTTGCTAACATACGAAATTTTATTTACACCAATTAAATCGTGTGACTGTATGTAACCACGCATCTTATAGGATCATACGAAACACAGAAAATTGCTTTAAGATTTTATGAAATCCTACGTAATCTTATCAGACGAGCTCATTTGATTTCTATTATAGGGTGTAGTTCTTATAGGCTTCTACCATCTGAATCCTACATTAGCTTACAACAGGAAACCTATCAAATGCTATGAATTCTTATATAGGATTACCTAAGATCTTGCCAGAATCATATTGAGAAATCTGGTTTGTATTTGAGTAGTACCACTTCATTAAAATGTTTTTCGACGATACATTCTTTATTATGATTAGTCAAGACACTCTTTTCTTTGTTCACTGTCTATTGGATGTTAAGACATGTGTCTAACTGTACAGAAAATTCTTTTTGGACTCCTGCTAGTGCTTTACTATAGAGGGTTGTCTATGCTCGTAAGGAGATGTTGTTGAAGTCCCACAAATTCAAGAAATCCCGATCCGCATTTGGAATATATCTTCTCAAAACAGACTAAACTACATTGTACTATAGCGTACCGTGCTTATACATTACACAAACTTATACGTGTATGATATAAGTTTTTCAACAAGATCTTGTCTTTTCTCACTCCGCCTAGTGTATGAATCGATGCGCTAAACAACCTCATTGAGGCCGTTTTTATCTTTCCTTTTACTGTCCTACACACTGTAATGACAGACAAACATACGCACGTGTAATAAGAAAAAGAATTTTCTCCTACTTTTCTTTCTTCTACTGTATAAACATATTAATGTCAAACCACACACAACATTTTTTGCTTCCTCATTCTATAGTCTACTATAAGAATACACATGCACGAAATAACCCCAATTTTTTATCTTTTCTTCCACTGTACGACACACACATTGTAGAATAAAAAGAATTTTTCCCTTCCGCTTTACTCTTCTGCATGTCAGGATAAGATAGTGCATATACGTCAGCTGTCGAGAGCGGTAGAAGTTGCGGAAATCTATGGCTTCTATGGACTTCAATATTATACTATAGATATATTAACCAACTCTACTGTATTCTAGTTTTACATAATTTTATTGTTCAAACTTCATTCTCTTCTTATAGTCATGAAAAATTTGTAGAAGTAAATTCACAAACAAGCATTAGACAATGACGGTGGATCTTTAGCTACATGGGTCTAAGGTTTTATTATAGAAAAACAAAATAAACAGGAACAGAATTATTTTATTCGCGTATGAAATAGGGGTAGCACTTGACTAGTTAGTTACTTCGTTACTTCTCCAGAAAGTAACGAAAAACCGTTACTTCCTAGAGAAGTAACGAAGTAACGAAATTAGTTACTAGTTAAGGTTAAGGAAATTCAAAATTCAAGTAGGTTTTTTACCTATGGATTTCCTTACAGATTTTGATAGAGCTCGACGCGGTAATTCCGAGTATGTATAATTCATTGAGAAAAGGTTGATTTTTCATGTCGAAAACAGTGAAATCGTAAAAAATACACGTGTTTCGAAAAATCGCTTATGGTCTTTGAACCATAAGTATTTCTGATCTCGTTTATTTGCATTCGTTATCTACGTAAAAAACTGATTTAGAAAATGTGCTTGCCGACTATAGAACATGAATTTTTAAGCACCATGAGTCCAAGCTAGATCAATGTTCGGAAAACCGACATGTTCTGCCCCCAAAACTTCAGCACTTTGTAGTTTGAATATTTTCCAGATATTTCCTCATAGTTAAAATCACCAAAATGTGCTTCAAAAAGGCATGATTGTAGCCCGCACATTTCTGATTGAAATCTTCCAGCTTTATACGACCTTTCTTTGCAAAGTTATAGAATTTACAAGAAAAGCCCTAGATTCATTTTTTCCTTCTTATTTCTGTAGCTTTGAGCGGACAATGAACATTTAGGGCTTTTCTTGTAAATTCTATAACTTTGCAAAGTAAGGTCGTGCAGAGCTGGGAGAGGTCTCATTTTAATCAGAAATTTGCCAGCTACAATCATGCCTTATTAAGGAAGGCTTTGGTTATTTTTTAGGTTCTTGAAAAACTGGTTTTCCAGATAAATGGATCTTCAAGAGTCCTGGGCAAGAATCCTTTTAGAGTATTTACTATCTCACTGAAGTCTATCGATCCATGTACAAATCGTTGGAATCGGAAGGTCACATCTCGACAGGTTCCCTTGCCAGCGTTGGAACATTAAAGGTACACTCATTCAAATATAGAGTAAATGGTTCATATTCTGCGAAGGAATTTTTGGAGGCGATGAGTGAACACATCATATGACACCTAGCCTATTAACATTTCCAATCAGTTTTTCAAGAAACTAGGGAATAAACAATAGCTAAAAGTTCCAATTTTTCAAGAACTCCTATAAGGTATCTTTGTTCAGTAGACGAGTAGTGAAAGAGTTAGTCCACATCGGAAATGCGTTAGAATTTTTGAGAGGAGGTTTCAGACAGTCTCCAATGATTGAGCGGCTATCGACTAGACATCAGCTGCTAGTATTCTTCGCAATGGATGCTAGAAAACTTGTTTTCATTTTTCTGGAAATGCTAAAACTTTCTTATAGTCTAGATTTTAGAATAAGGGACTAAATAAAGTGGATAACGTTTGCGTAGTTCTTCGAAAACTGTAGCATTAACTGATTAGACTATTAGAGTCGAACGCGTCAAGAAACAATACCGTTTCTTTCTTGTTAGTGACTGTTGTTGTCTATTAAATTTACTTGTCTGCTCATTGTTTATTTTAGTATCAGCACGTTTAATTGACCTGTGTGTTCTACTTCGGGTAGCTGGTCCTACTCGTCCACTCATACTCTTATGTATTGCGTAGGAACCTTGCTCATCATTATCTTGTTCTATTTGTTGGCTGCGTTCTATATGAATAAACTTGTTCATTTCACTTGATTTTTTATGCTCATGTGTCATTTCGTTCGCCTGTTTCTGCAAATTTTCTCTTTTTAACATCTCTTCGTTTTGTTTTTTCTCAGCTTCAACTGCTTCTTGCTCTTGGTCGTCATTTATGTATTTTTGCACTTCGTTTTCGTCTTTTTGCTCTGACAGTTGGGATGTCCTCAACACGGGAACATTCAATTGCAGTTTTAAGGATTCTACTGGCATCACCTTTTTCATCGATTGCTTAAGTTGTTCAATGACTAACCGAGTATTAGTTCTATATGGTTTTCCACTAAGTAAAACTTTCATCGGATACCATATTCTTGGATCAAGAAATTCCATTATTTGTATTTCATAATAGGATGTGAAGTTGTGAGCATACAATGTTGGTATCAATAAATCATAGTTGTTTTTCTGGTGTAGTATTTGTATTACCAGATTGTCCGATAAATCGATACCATATACACCTAAAATCATACATGATCGGTTACAGATTTTCTTCTTCGATTTTCTTCTAGCACCATTGCAATAAAACAGCATATAATGATTATAACTTTAAATATAAATCAGCGAATTTTAAACAATAGTCACATACCAACTGGTGGTCTTTCACCATTTGTTATTACTTGATTTTGACCATTTTGACTACAATCTAATTGTTTACGAAAATATATTAATGGTTTAATGCTAATATGATCATGAATCAGATATGTTGTGAACGCGCCTAAAATGAAGTCATCAGTTTGACTGTTGAGAAAAGATATCACTTTTGAGAAAAAGCTTCATCCTTCAGTACAGTAAACCATTTCAGGTGCTGTAATAGTTACAGAAATCGTCAAAATCATTTTGATTTGTATACACTCTTGTCATTTGAAACAACTTTCTGTTGTAGTTTTATCATAGATTTGTTTGCACTATGAATTTTAGTTGGTGATCGAGAACAACTATCATCTAGTATCAAATAAAAAATAGCAATATTTTCTTATACCCATGGTATAGCCGGGTGTTATAAATCGTCCACCTGTTTCCGATTTTAATGCATAACAACAATAATACGGTGATCCAGGTGAAAAATCTTTGTTATCCGCTCTTTTACTAATATGAATAAATTTTACTGCGACATCATTACCAATACCCTTCATATAAGCACGTACAACAACAGAAAATTCTCCAGCACCAATGAAAGAATTAACTTTATTTAAAATAATATTATAATAAGCCAAATGTGCATGTTCATCGGGTCCAAGATAAAGTTTAACAATCGAACAATAATGAATAGGTAAATGAATGAAGAGTATAGAGACAAAACAGAACATACTATTCAAGAATGCTTACAGTAAGAAAATTTGTGCACACATACTTTTTGTACTATAATTAAATTAAGAGTAATATGTAACATTTATTTCTACTTTGTTGATTCGACATCATGAAGCTAATCTTTTGAACATATTAATATGTAGAGATACAGCTGAGTTATAGACAATTATTAAATTTTCTATACTACTGTCAATTGAATACATGAAAATTGTCATGTGAAAATGAATTTATATTGCATATTAAATGTTCAACAATTATCAATTTTATTACAAAAAAAAATGATAAAATGGTTTTATTTTGATTATAAAAATATTTGGAATGATCTAATATGAACTGCATCCAATAATTGAGAAATTCTAGTGTCAAACGATATAATTAATCATAATCGATGCAAATCACGATACACCTCTTTTGTGAATTAGAATTATATTTTAAATAAAACAGTAAAGATTCTCTAACGTCTGTCGACGAGACCGGTGAGAGAGGAGTACAAGACACAAGAGTAAGCTACTAGGATCTTCAAATAATAGGTTTTTTCTAAATACTTATGGTTTTTCTGAATGCGTAGAATTGTAGAGCAAACTCTTCTGTTCAATTGAAGAGCTCGCACAACTCCGTATATCCTTGTGTCAAAAGTTACAAGCATTTTCCTGCAATTCCTAAAACTTTGCGTTTTATACAGCATTTCCTCTACGTAGGAGCTACATCTGAAGTATTCCCAAAATTTTTTAATACACTTCAAGCTAGAGAGTTCGGGTTTGTTTTATTTTAAACTAGACACCTAGGTACATGGGTTGATTTTTCAACTATGTCTTAGTTTTTTGTTAAGTGGGGGATTTCCAGAAAACCAGGAAGCATTTTTCGGATTTTGAAAAACATATTGGGAAATACGTTAGGGTCCTTTTTAGGCCTTGATCCATGGAAAACTCCTAAACAATAAGACTTGGAAACAAAAAATATTTTCATTCCTATAACTCATTGTGCCTAACATTTAAAAAGTTTCATCAAGATCGGATGTACAGTGCCGGAGATAATTTCGGAGGAGGGAGAGCTTTTAATGGAGATTCCCCTTCCCCTATTATGTGTCCTCGAACTATGTCGGTTTAAAGAGAACACCTGACTGCATATATTCTTAAGTTCTTCCGATGAACTAGTAAGTATTTCCAGAGTTATTAATTAATTAAGTTTAAATTTTAATTAGAATTTGGGTAGCTAGTTCGCATTTTGCAAAGCTTGTAGCTCGCTTAAAAATAATTGTTGAAATGTCGTTCTTGCACGGTTTGATAGCCAATGGTCTGTTGTTATGGTGGGATGGAAAACGTTTTAAAAATATTTTCCTAAGGTAATAATTTAAGCATTAATTAATCATGCTAATAAGTATTGATTAGTATAACTCTGCTACGTTACATGTTTATTTTCAAATTAACAATTTATTGGAAACGGTAACGCAATACGCCATTCGACCGAGATTTCCAAGCCCTACAAAAACCCGTGTATTTGTCTTGTCAAAATGTTGCCGATAAGCAGTTATTTGTACTCGGTTTTACGCAAATGGGGTTTCTAGTTTGGATTTCTCAACAGAGCGGACATGGATGTTTTTTGAGTAACTCCAGAACGAAAAGAGAAAAAAAGTTCGGATTTTCAGTATTTTGAATCTGCGTTGAACTTTTAATTTCAACATGGTGACGAGATAGCCTAAAGTGGTCTTCACAATTCTGCGCAAAGTCGACTTCTCTATCTGTAACTCAGGAAAATAAACCACAACAAGTCGCCCGAAATTCTTTAGCATTTGGTCAGGTAAAATGTCTGCCATTCGAGAACCACAATAGATAGAGAAGTCGAGTCAAATAAGTTCTACGTATAGTCGGGCTGAGCCGAGCTTAATCCGGAAACTTTCATCATCGGGCCAAAATTTTTCGACCCGTGCGGATCTCTGGTTCGTTATCCGACTGCTAATTAAGACTCTCATTAAATTATTCTGCTAATCTTAATAAAGAGAAATCAACGATGTTTATAGACAAAATCCTATGCATTTCCTGTCTATATCCTATTAGGATCATACAAGGATCCTGATAGTTAGGATCCACGTAATGACTTCCTAGCAGGGTCCTAATGCCAGAATCCTATCAGGATTTCGCTTAAGCTTGTTTAGGATCCTAACAGAATCTTGGAAAATCCTATGACTTTCTGGTATACCTGATTTCGTTGGGAATCTGTAGGATCTTGTTCGAATCCTAAAAAATTAAAACAAAATCGTAGTATGAGATTGGTAGATTGTCTCCGTCGATTGGATATGTCTCGGATCCTGTCGAAAAACTCATAGGGATTTTACTAGGGGTTCATTCTATGCACAATACTCGTTAGAAACACGCGTTTTTCTTCCGATTTTTTCACATATGCAATTAATTATAATATTCTGCAAATATTTTTCACTTGAACTAGACTAAAAGCTGGCTTCTGAACATTCGCAGAACTCATATTCTATTGATTTCGTATAATTTTCACGGACTGATCAGAAAAAAATAGTAGAATGATCTTGGCTATCCCGAAGCATATATATACAAAAATGACTATCTCTCTGAATTTTGTAATTTCTCATTAGATGTCGTGTACAGGTGAGAGAGGCCTCATTTTAATCAGAAATTTGCGGGCTACAACTATGTCTCCGTAAGAAAGGTTTTGGTTATTCTTTAGAGTTTCTGAAAAACTGGTTTTTTGCAGAAAACTGTTTCCTCGAATGATCATGGACAGCTCCCATAATCATATTCGGATGATCGATAACCTATAACACACTAGATTTCGATGAAAAAGCGATTTATAACCTCGAGAGGTTCTCTCGTTAGCTAATTTTGACAGGTGCCAGAGAACGTAGCGAAGTTTTAGTGACACAAGAATGTCACTTTTTACAGACGATGGTCGATGTTTTTGTCACTTGTGACTGATGTGGAAAGAGGTAAGTGAAAATAGTAACCTTAGAGAATATTAAAGCAAAAAAGAAATTCAAATCGGAAGAATCAGTTGTAATATCCGTTGAGACTTAATGTTCTGCTAGATTTGTAAAACAACAGTTGCCATAGCTAACCCGTTCAATTTCATTTGTATGCTGCCATAAAATGGGCAGATACCAGAGTGATTCTTATTCGCCGCACTTATCCCTTGTTAGATTGTTTTCTTTCTTTGAGAAAAAGCAGAGATATTTACAGTAACGTTAGACGAAAAGCAACTCGGAGATACTTCAAATTATTAAAAATAAAATAATTTTCCCCCCTGTGTGTTAAAAGTTGTTAAAAAAACCGATCATCTTCTAAAAGAAAACCTCATTCACCTTGTACTTAACGTTATCGATCTCAACCCACGTAATGGTCTGAACTATTTGAAAACATCCAAATTTAGCTAAATTCCTCGCGGAATGACATTTTGGAAAATAATAATCCGAAAAAATAGTCTGACTTAACTGTAAAAATTCAGACACTAATTCGTTCAGCGGCAATAGCCAGCTGCTTCGAGGAAGTGATTTTGATCAAAAAAATGAAAACACACGTGTTGTTAGAGAAGATGGATGAGAGGGGGAAGTACACATGGTACCATCTTGGCTTGTGACAAGTAGTGTTTGGGTTATCCACATATTTCGTTTTCTTCTTTCTGTACCTTGTACGACTCAGTGCGACCTTTTTCCATGAGTTAGGAATTTTTCTCGGAAAGCACCATATCGAAAAATCCTAGTAGATCGTTAAAAAGTGCAGTTTTCAGTGTAGAGAAGAAGACATCGGTACTTTCGGAGAAAAATTCATAACTCATTGAAGTAAGGTCGTACTGAGTCGTACAATGGCGTAATTTTGACGACAAAAGTCTAGCTCTGCCCATGTAATCGTTTGCGTTCGAAAAAACGCGTTTGAACGCTGTTTTGGGCGTTTAAATCTACGTTTAAACCCGTTTTGTAAAAATCTGCGTTTGAGTCGAACGCGTTTAAACGCCCTAATGTGTGAGGAGCGTTTGAACGTTTTTTTTCATGCATTCTTGTTAAGCGTTTGAAGGCGTTTAATTATTAAAGGCGTTTAAACGCGGAAGAAATTGAATACTCTGAACGCGTTTAATTTTTTGAACGCGTTTTAAGGCGTTTCGATTTTATTAGACGTTTGAACGCTGTTCTGAAACAAGTTACAAGGGCGTTTGAGAGCGTTCCTATTATTA